GAAATCTGCAAGAGCGCTGTGTCTTTAAATATCCAAAATGGTCAAGCTGCTTCTGAACATTCAAAATGGCAGCGTCCTTCGGACAGGCAAAAGTCCACACTTCAGCCCGTGTTTCTCTTCACCTTCTCCGTTTTTTTCCCCAGCCATCAGAGCAGTCTTCTGTGTAGTCTCTGGCTAGCAGGGCTGATTTTTAGGTTAATTCTTAGGTCCAGCCGCCATGTGGCACTCTCAAAGCTGTGTGTGCTGTGCCGTCAGGATCGCTCAGGATCGCTGCCAGACCGCATCTGTCTCTTTTTTTGGTATTTTCATGCAAATTCTTCTGCTAGTTGGGGTTTAGTCCATTTCTGTATCCTTCCCTTCAAGGCTCAGGGGTCCAGGATTATCTTCTGTGTCTGTGTTAACTGGTTTCCCTTTTCTTTGTTGAAGAAGGTCTGTGCAGTCTTTCTGCCTAGTCCGCCATCTTCCTTGTTCAATCTGTTCTTTTTCAAAGTTTTTTTTCTAGAATTTTGTCTGTTTTCCTTGATTTTGTCAGTGGTTTCCTCAAACTTTTTCTCAATTAGTTGAAGCTATCTAATTATAATTCTTTTGAATTATCAGTTCCACTAGCATTTCTTCCTCCAGATTTTCTTGCCCTGTATTTTGATCACTTTTTGATCCACCTGCTCTTTTTGTGCATGTGACTTGACATTGTCTGTTGTCTCTGAGACTTTGTAATGTTTCTGTATTAATTTGTTGATTGTGTGTTGGTTTGCTTTACCCCAATTTTTTGCTTTGTTCTAATATATGTGTGTGATAGAGTGGGCGTTTTACTCTGGTCATTAGTTTGGCAGCACTGGGGCACTTACCACCTGTCTCCAGGTGGATCTGGTGGCAGGTGGGAATGTAGGCACAAGTCTCTGATCACTGTCCATAGCAACTGAGGGCATTCTGGGCAGGTACTGGCTACTGTCTGTTGTTAGTCCAGTGGTGCTGGAGCAGGTGGGACAGTAGGTGTGGGTGGGTATGGCCGGATAGGTAACTGATTCCCAGCTGCTCTTCGGTCACCTGATTACCAATGTGGGTGGTAATGCAGTGCTCAGTAAGTGAAGCCACTTATCTGGCTCCTGCTTCAATAGAACGCTGCTTGCAATAATTCAAAATTATTTGAACTGGCTGTGCTGTGCTGTGCCAGTTAGCAGTTTACCACTGCTTGTTTACTGTTTTTGTTCAGTCTCCCTCTCATTGGTATTTTATCTACTTTATTCTCTCCTTTGAAGCTCTGGGATTTAGGATTGTCATCCATAGCTGTTTCCCTTGTTTTTTAAGTCTTCATTGTAGAGAGTCTGGATAGTGAATCTGCCTAGTCTGCCATCTTGGAACCTCCTCTCAGAAGGTTCCAAGCTTTGGTTCTCAAATCTTTTTTGATTTTAGAATTGCAGATAAAGGATTTTAGACTTGTAATATCTGTTAACGATGCTTTGGAGGAAAGGCCTTTAATACAAAGTTTGTGTTAAATGAAAAGGCATACTTGGCTCCACCACTCCTTCTCTTGCAACCTTCTATTTAACTGTGATCTCCTTATTGTTATTCAAGCACACCAAACAGAGTCTCATCTCACAGCATTGGATTTTCCTGTATCTGGAATGTTCTACTTCTGTTATTGCATGGCTCATGCCCTCATCTATTCAGGAGTCTGCTAAAATGTCTGCTTAATGAGTCCTCTCTGACTAATCTGTTTTAAAGGTTAACCTTCCTTCCCAGAACTCCATGCCCTCACTGCTTTTTCTCACACAACCTGGCATGTATGTATTTTTCTCATTTATTTCATTTGCTTGCTGTCTTTCCCTGTAACTAGAATGTAAGTCCAATGAGGACGGGGATTTTAGTTTTATTATTGTATTTCTAACATCCAGAACATGTAGGAACTTGGTAAATATTTGAATGAAACACACAGACACACATACATATGTATATATACTATACACATACGTGTGTATTTATGTTAATGCTTTCAAATAAGGAGGAAGAGTATTATTTGCTTTCACATACTTGGAAAATTCATGTTTTTTTGCTACCTATGGGTCCTTGGTAGCGTAGTGCCTAAGGCACTTGACTGCTAATCAGAAGGCTGGTGGTTCAAACCCACCAGCCACTCCTCAGAAGGAAGATGGGGCAATCTACTTCCATAGTGATACTGCCTTGGAAACCCAAGGAGGGGTCACTATGAGTCGGATCCGACTTGACGGCACATAACAACAACAATATGGGTTCTTGGTGCTAGAGCTTTAGTAGTGAATAAGACCACTAGACTGATGTTCACAATTTTGGGAAGGAGGACAGGATGGGGAGCTAGGCAATAAGCAGGTGAAATAAGGCAAGTTTAGATTGTGATAAATGCTGTTACAATTTTGAAGGACAGTGATATAATACAGAATGATGCTTTTAGCTTGTATGTTTAGGGAAGGTCTTTTGAGATAAATCCTGAAAAATAAGAATAACCACAAACCAAAACACCAAACTCACTGCTGTCAAGTCAGTGGCAGGCTAAAGAGGGCCAATGTGGCTAAAGTGTGGTGGGCAAGGGGGAAGGTAGTATGTGATGAGGATAGAGAATGGGGTTGAGGCCAGATCAGGATATGCTTAGTCATGATAAGGGGTCTGGGTACTTCAAGTAAGGAGCACTGTGAACCACATTCCAGTTTTAAAGGCCAATTTTGTTCTTTATGGAGTTTGACAATTAAAAAAAAAAACCAGAAAATCAAACTCACTGCCATCAAGTTTATTCCAACTCATGGCAACTTCTTTGGGTTTCCAAGGCAGTAAATCTTTACAGAAGTAAATTGCCCAGGCTTCCTTCTGCAGAGGTGGTTACAACCTTCTGGTTAGCAGTCAGATGCCTTAGGCACTAAGAGTTAATAGATGACTCCTAGGTTTTTGGCTTGAGCAAGAGTTTAGTAAAATGGGGAAAGCAAGGGTAAAAACAGGATATATATTTCTTTTTATTTTGAAGTGTGTGGTGATTAAGGAAGGGGATTGGAATCAAGAGTTCTACTGACAGCCTTGACCTCAGTGAAGAAATCAGGGCTAGAGAGGTAAACTGGGGATTTATGGACCCCATTTAAAGGCCAAGAACTAATGAGTTCATACTAGGAGAGAGTTTAGATACAGAAGAGGGCATTGGTGCAATTAAAATAAAGACCACAACGTCAGACCATTAAGACTAATTTATTTTAAAATAGGTGAACTATTAATTGTAGAAAATAGTAACATAGCAATTTTAAATGTACAGTCTTAAGCAATACAAAAAAGCAATAAAGCAATATTTGAAGCCTTATTTAAGAAATCTCAATACACAATATCTGAAGTTCCTAAAACTCTGGCACTAATTCTAATGTGAATGTATTAGTAAAAGATGCAGAAACATGGTAGGCCCTGACCTAAAAGCTAAATGGTTTGTATGATATTCATGCAAAAATTAAAGAGGAAATAGAGTGAAGCTTTCTAGTGCTTTTGTTATCAAGGTAGCTCTTAAAATAATAAGTAAGTTTGAAACTTAACAGAGCCAAAAAATTCTTGGTTTTCTAACAAATGAGACCAGATTTCTTTTTAAAAAGAATTCTGGGTTTAGACAAAGTGATTTTCCTAAAAGCTAGTTGATGCTAACTTAAATATCACCTATTTTAAATTATACCATTTCTAAATAAGTTAATCACACAAGATAGTTTAAATACACCTTTAGGTGCCAAGGGGGAAAAAGCGCCTCTTCTTCTAATGAAGCTATTTTAATTTGAAGCTTTTGCACAAAATCAGATGGAAGCAATAATGCTAACCCACAAAGACCTTTGATTACTTGCAATTTTTGAGGAGAAATAACCTGGCTTTGAATGTGCCAGTGTTAACTCATATTGGGTTTTTGAAAATAAAAGAGAACTGCCAATTCCAAGGATACATGGAAGACATGTACCATTCCAAAGAAAACGCAAACCTTCCCAAATTTAGGAGGGCAGAATACTTGTTAAGAGATGCAATTAGACAAATCTCGGGGGGGGGGGGTAGAAATTAAGGCTCCTATAGTTAACAGTCTGCTTATCATGTAAAATTAACTTCTATCTTGATTCTTCAGGACCCAGAAACATTAGAAAGTGCACTTTGAATACTGTTAGGGTCCTCTACAGCAAAGCTCTATCAGACACTACATTTTCAAGTACTAGATGGGTGCTTTATAATTTCAGAGATCTGAAAAGTATAAAAACCAAAAGGACTATTAATAACCTTCATTTGAAAGCATGAGTTGGATGATGAAAAGAATCAATAGGAAATTCTTACAAGTTCTGAGGTATGAAATCTGTGTCAGTAGTAAAACAGTATCAGGTTTATACTTTGTTTTCTGCTTGCATTCAAAAGCTAAAATTTATATAATAAACACAGAGGACATCAGATTCCAATAGTAAAGTAAAATACAATGTGTAAAAATTAGTAATTTTTTTTTTTTCTGGTTTCTAATATCTGTTTTAGTAGAAGAGTTCCGGATAATTTGGGTGAATCAGTAGTCATCCAAATTGCATTTGGAAGACATGACACATTTTCTGTTCATGTTAAATAAAAAATACATATATAAATTAATAAAAACAGTAGCAAACATCACACATATGCAAAAGACAAGGCAAAATACTCAGAAAGATAGGCATGGGTTGTTAGGACTCACACTCTCCAAGTGTCCCCACCATTTGGGAAGCAGAGCACTTATACTGTAGAAATGCAAACAATCTGCTACATCTTTTTAAATAGCAGGAATTACACAAGATTTTCAATCTTGTACAATAACAATCACTACAATATTTCAAGTGGTTTAGAAATCCCACATACAAATTCAACTTGCATCTGCACACATCTTTTTATATTCACAAAAAGAACTGAAGATGAGTATTAAATGTGGCTGTAAACAGAACCTGGGAGAATTATACAGTTAGTCTGGGAGAGACAATGAAGCTAGAGGTGTACACACCAAGGTCCTGAGATCCTCACTTTTCATCCTTATTTGAGGTATCCATGCTGTCATTCATTTTCTGTTTTTGCATTCGTGTTCGAGTAGATGCTGGAAAAAGGAAGAACTGTTACCAGCCCTGATGATGTTGGGTAGGTTGGTAAGGGGCTGCCATATATGTTATACTCATGTCAAATCAGTGGTTCTCAGAGCCTTTCAAGATCAGGAGGTGTGCAAATGTTTCTGATCACATAGCTCTATCAGTAAATTTTTGTGAACATGAGTAACACCAAACTATGTAAAAAAAAAATATATATATATATAAATTTATATGTATAAATTTTAGGTACCTACAATTGTGCTGGAGTTCCTAGGTGGTGCAAACAGTTAACATACTTGGCTGCTAACCAAAAGGCTGGTGGTTTGAACCAACCCAGAGACACTTCAGAAGAAAGGCTTGGCCTTATACTTCTGAAAATCAGCCATGGAAAACCTTACGAAGGGCAGTTCTGACATACGTCGGGGGCCACCATGAGTTGGAGTAGACTCAACAGTAGCTGGTTTGATTTTGGTTTTACAGCTGGACTAATATATGTATTACAAAACACACATACCCCAACTAAACTATGAACAGATGAGATAAAAAGTTAAACCCAAACTCACTGCTGTCGAGTTGAATCCGACTCATAGCAACCCCTCTTTGGGTTTCTGAGGTGGTATCACTATGGAAGTAGATTACCCAACCTAGAAACTTTAATATTTTCTTTATGTGCCCCAACAATGGTCTTGCAGCCAGCCTCCTGGGGTATGAGCACCCCACTGATCTAGAGAAGATGAGGCTGCATTTGGGATGCACTTGAGCTGACTAGAATCCTGAGCTTGCCTAGACTGGATCTGCTGAAGGGAGATCCCTTCACAAAACAAGAGATTCCCTTGTGTTGAGATGCCTTCCATGTACTGCAAAGACCAGCTCAGAGCTCACTTAATTTGACACAGATATTTTGAAAGGACTTTATTAATTACAACATAGACAAAAGTACAACACTCACTTAGAAATTTTCAGAGCTCTTTATAAAAAAGCACACAGAACAGTGACATTTTTCCGGAAAAGAAAGAAAAGGAGTTCTCATCTACTCTGAGCTATCGGGCGGGTGTTCTGTGCTGACCTTTTTTGAATGCAGTTCTCTGAGTTGCTGAGTGCATTCTGGAGAATCCCTCAGCCTTAGAGGGTAAAGCCTGCTGCTGTGCTCCAGCCACACACACGGCTGGCAGAGGAAGCTCCCAGCGTAGCCCAGTGGGCCACTGGGAAACGGCCTGACTGTGGCAACCAAACTCTTCTTTCAGAAAATACATGTTTTTACAGCTTTCTGCTGCTTTTTAAATGCATATTTGTGTATACCAAAATGCTTCCACATTTTCAAGCATTTTTCATGATTTTGTTTATAAGCTTCATGTCTACCTTCATGTACTGGGGGGAGAAGCCACAACTATTTTATAAGTTAAAACAGGAGAATATTAGTCAATGTGAAATCTAAAAAGAGATTCACTTATGATCATACAATTTAAACTTTTGGTATATTCAGTATTAATTTTTCTCTTCAAAATAATAAACACAGGAAAAAAATGGCTTAAAAAAAAACCTCAAAGCATTTCTTTTATTTCAACATATTTAAAAGTTAGTATCTACAAAGACATATTGAGAGAAATCCTTTCATCACATTTAAATTGGTACCATGCCTATTTAAATGTCCTATGATTGGCATAGTATCTAAGGCATTTAACTGCTAACCAGAAGGCTGGTGTTTCAAACCCACCAGTCACTCCTCAGAAGGGAGACTGGGCAATCTACTTCCATAGAGATACTACCTCAGAAACTCAAGGAGGGGTTATTATGAGTCGGATCGACTTGACGGCAGTGAGTTTGTTTTTGTTTTTTGATGACCTAAGAATGATAGTTTTAGTATCTTTTATGTGCTAAATATTCTTCTTCTTTCCAAGTTCTAGTTCCTTTTCATATTAATGGATCTGGTACCAGAGATCAAGAAATGGCCGCACACTCATCATCACCATTACTACTCTAAGACAACCCCATAGCAGTTACTGAATGTGCTTGGGTTCATTTTTTATAGTCTCAGAGTGGCTTAGGATAGAAACATTCCAAATTTATGTCACTCTGTATAACTTGGAAAGTAATCTGGTGTTGTTTATCAAAATTCTGATATCTCGTGATGGAAAACTTTTGTTTGAAATTAATTTTAAAATCCTGCAAATTATGAAAGTTTAAGAATAATGGAATAATAAAAAATTAAATATTTTAAAAATAAGGGTGATGATACTTACATATGCTAGGTTTATAAAGTCTTTTCCCATAACTAACACTCTTAAAGAATTCCTCATTGTAGTTCTGATATTCTGAAATACTTTCTAACCCAAGACATTCATGGTGAAGTTGTGGCCAAGCAGGGTTTTAACTTCTTAGTCTTCCTGAGTGAAAGATTCTAGAAAGGATGAAGATGGCTTTCCCTGTGCATCATAGATTTAACAACAAATGTTTGTAGGTAAATAATCTCAACTGAATCATAATTTGAATGCATAAGAAAGTTTGCTAATTGAATTATATGTGTATTCTTTTATAAAAAGCAAAGACTACAGTGTAAACAACTGTCTCAATTCCATAAGGTGTTATGATAAGTACTTACTCATTTCTGCCAGTTTCTGTTGAAATTTGGATTCTCCTGGGAGATGTTTACTGCAGATTAAAAAAAATGCAAAACATTTCATTTGTATATACATAAAAGAAAAACTCACATTTCCATTAACCATGGTGCTTTCAATGACTTACAAATTTTTTAGCTACTTTTAGTATCAAAGGTTTATTAAACTAACCATGTAAAATACAAATGTCACAGTATACGATTCTACATCTATTACAGTGACTTTTATAAAACACAGTAGTTAACATTTTTAAAGAATGAATGGCAATTTCAAATTTAATGCTAAAATTAAAAATGTTAGCAATAGCTTAAAAAAAAAAAAAAGTCAGATTTTTAGCATCTGATACCTTACTGAATTTAGGTACAGATAAAACGTTATGTATATGGTTCTTTTAAACTTAGGAGCTCTGGTGGTGTAGTGCCTAAGGCATGTGACTGCTAACCAGAAGGCTGGCGGTTCAAACCCACCAGCCACTCCTCAGAAGGAAGGTTGGGCAATCTACTTCTGTAGAGATACTGCCTCAGAAACCCAAGGAGGGGTCACTATTGAGTCAGATCCAACTTGACAGCAGTGAGTTTGGTTTTTTAAATTGAGGGTACATATTCATACCTCTGTTTTGAGAAATTCTCAAATTACAAATAAAATTGGCAGGAAAGGGATTGGTAGAAACCAGGAGCAAAGCTGAGTCTGGTTCTCCAGATGACCTGCTCAGTTACTAGCAACATTCTAAATTGTTCCTACCTTCCATCCGCTTCATCTGATCCTTCAATATCAAAGCGTAGTTTCTTCAGTGGTTTAGGAGGGTTGCTTCCTTCAGCGCTTCTTTTGAGCACACGGTCACTGTTACATACCATCTGATTTATTTTCTGGAACTTCTCAGAAGTCTATGAATTATAGAATTCTTTATTTTAAATCATTAAACTCAGCCATTTTGTAGTTAGCAATCCTAATTTGTAATTTGAGGTGAGTCAAACATCAAGCAGAGGTAGCATCTTCATTTTACTTTTCTGCTTTATTTGACCAAATGGGAGATAAGACGTCTCAAAAGCAGAGTAACTCCACCTAACTCAGCTCCTATTAAACACTCACTGTTTCCAATTCCTCCTGTCTCTTTCCATGAGGTTCCTGCTCTTCTTCCAATGCTGACTACTACTACTCTCAAAGTCTTGGTTCTGTATTTCAAAACCATAGAGGAAACTGATCAACTCCACGGTGGAATCTACTGGGAGCAGCTGAGTAGCTGCCCTAGGGATGTGGTCTGCTTCCCATATATAAGAAACAGGTTTGGGAATGGTCTCCAGCTTATGGCACGCTTGAACCCTGCATGTAGCAGTGTCATTGTTCAGCAGCCTGCCTTGCTCTGCCGATCTTGGGACTTTAATGGACTTGAATTAATGGCCTGCCATGTGGTTCGGTAACATCGGGACTATGCCATTTTATTTGTTGACCTTGGGCTTATTAGCCTCAGAAGCCAGTAGCTGCCTGAGTGAAGAGATGCCTCTAGCTTCAGTGGGCCGGGAGCAAGAAGCAGAGCTGAAGCCCAAGGTCAAGGGGCTTTCACATAGCCCCTAGAGCCTGGCACTTTGAACTCAGACTTAAAGCCTCCAAACTGTATGAGAATAAACTCCTGTTTGTTAAGGCCATCACATTTGTGGTATATTCTTGTCAGAGAGGCACTAGGTAACCAGAACAGAAACCAAGAGTACTTCCCAGATGCATGCAAAGTTTGAACAGATTTCTGGAACCTGGAACTTTATTTTTAACAGATTTTTCTTTTTCTTTTCTTTCTTTCTTTTTTTTTTTTTTTTTTTGAGAGCATAGTAAACCAGAAGAGAAGGTAACATGAATTTGACAATAAGTGTTTAAATCACTAAGTTTGGGGGTAATTTGTTACACAGCAATAACTAATATAAGCAGTCTTCCCACTCCTGTAAGAATATGAGCTCTTTGGAGGGGTAATACACACTGAATACAGGACTGCTGAATTAGTGACATTAATGGAAGGCCAACTAGAGCAGGGAGTTCCCAGCCTGGAGTAACTATTTCAAAGCTGAGCTTTCCCCTGATCTCTCTGGAACAAAGACTATCACATAAGCCCTTCCACTTACACTGAGGCAGGGTCTCATGTAACCAATTTGTAATCAGTGTACTAGAGAAATATCATCTCAGAAGTTAGACAAGTTCTGAGAGAGGAAGGACAGGCAAAAGTGTGTATTTCACAATCTGTAGTAAAAGTAATAATAATTTATAAGTGGATGCATAGACAGACATTCAACCTGAACAAAGGTGGGAAGGCAAAACACATTAAAAAGAAAAAAAAAAAAAGTGTGTGCATATGTGGAAGGGAGCTCTGGTGGCACGGTGCCTAAGGCATTTGACTGCTAATGAGACGGCTGGTGGTTCAAACCTATCAGCCACTCCTTGGAAGGAAGACTGGGCAATCTACTTCTGTAGTGATACTGCCTCAGAAACCCAAGAAGGCTCACTATGAGTTGGGTCCAATTCGACAGCAGTGAGTTTGGTTTTTTTTTTGGTTATATGTGTGGAATGACAATACCGGTAAGTAGGGAGTGGTACTGACATTTGGATGTAGTAGTTACATTTTTGAGTTTTTCACATCATATGCATAATCAGTGAATTTCAAAACTGTTTCTAAACACACACACACACATCTTCTAAATTCTATGCAACATGCCTGGATGAGGTACTTGAATAAAATCATTTATAAATTCAAATTACAGAAATCTTCGATTACTTTCATAGTTACAAGGACGTGTCATTACTTTTCACACACAAAAAAATACTCACTCCAAATGATTCACCAATTGATACCAAGATTCTGTGAAGATGAAGCAGAAATGAATTAGTAATGAAAAGCATGTAGACATGTGTGGAGATGAATATACACACATCATTTTGAACTATCAAGAACCAAAGTTTTCCTCTACCCTAAAACCACTGACAAATTATACTCATTAGAGGTTTATCTCATAATAACCCCAAAACCAGCTGCTGTCGAGTCAATGCCAACTCATAGTTACCTTACAGGTCAGAGTAGAACTACCCCATAGGGTTTTCAAGGCTGTAAATCTTTTTGGAATCAGACGGCAACATCTTTCTCCTGTGGAGTGGCTGGAGGGTTCGAATTGGCAACCTTTCAGTTAGCAGCCAAGCACTTAACCACTGTGCCACCAGGGCTCCTATTATGCCATAATGAAAAAGAAACCAAACTCACAGCCATTAAGTCAATTCTAACTCACAGCAATCTCCACTGGGTTTCCAAAGCTATAAATCTTTATGGAAACAGATTGCCCCATCTTTCTTCCGGGGAGTGGTTGGTGAGTTCCAACCACTGACCTTTAGGTTAGCAGTCAAATGCTTTAACCACTACACTACCAGAGCTCCTTATTATGCCATAACAGTGCTAATATAATCATGTATTATGCTTGTCTCTTAGATTTTTTTTAAGCAAGAGATACTTAGAACAAGGTCTGTAATTGTAAGATACTTAGAATATGTCTGTAAGAACATACTCTACCAGTCTACATTTAAAGTGGAAAAGTAGGTTTTAAGTTTACTCTTATTTAGTTCATCATAAACCAATAGGTAAGTAAGCAATTAAACATCTGAGCTCTGGTGGCATAGTACCTAAGGTATTTGACTGCTAACCAGAAGGGCAGGTGGTTCAAACCCACCAGCCACTCCTCAGATGGAAGACTGGGCAATCTACTTCTGTAGAGATACTGCCTGGGAAACCCAAGTAGGGGTTGCTATATGAGCCGGATCCCACTTGATGGCAGTGAGTTTGGTTTTTGGAATTTTTATTGAAGTAATATTTGGAAAAACTTACATCATGAAATAATAATCAGGATTCTAATTAAGATCTATATTGATACACAGTAAAAGTTATTTATCACACATTTTGGAATCAGAAGTCTCTATTAGTTTGTTTATCCTTGTTTGAACCATATACTTTAAGTTCTTGATAATAAAGCTGAAGAACAGCATTAGCCTCACGTAACTCAACACAGATTTGATCATCTGCACACAGAACTAGTGGATGTACAGATCTTATTATCCTCTAATTCTTTGATATGTGATCAGTCATTCCATACAAAATATCTCATTAACCAGAATTACTAAATATGCTGGATAAATAGTGTTAAGATGCTCTCTTGATGTTTAATCAATGATTTATCAGTTAAGATTTTCAGGATTTAACTATTTTGCTAAAGAACCCTAATGCAGAATTTGTTTCACTTATACCAGCAAGAGTTATCATCATCAGTGTAAGTGGGTTAATTATCATCATTAAAAAATTACCTAAGTATACATTTTCAGTGTGGGACTGTATAAATTTAACTAAAAGACACAGTATCATGTCTTAGTGACTTATAATGTAAGTTATAGATATCACTGCACTGATATCCAGCTTTAAGAATACCCAACTAAAGGATGGTACAGAGGCATAGATGAGTATTCATATCATATTGCCAATATTGTTTACCACCTTATTTTTTTGTGTAGCATTTGAAATTTTATCATGAATGTAAATTACTTATATAAACATATTACCCAAATGTTTTCTAAAGGGTTAATATATCTCCTTCTCTTTGTTTTTCTTGCCTATTAAGTACAACTGTCTGGGTTGATAATTTCTGCGATGCTACTACATTAACTATACTAGCTAATCTGCCTCCCACTATATAAAAATAAGGTCAGTTTCAAATAGCCCATGATAACATGTAATGAGTCAATTGAAGCACTTCAAAGCCATGGAGCACTTGTGGTTAGATGTGGGTGACAATATAATGATTTGTAGTTGCACAGAACCTTTCATCTGAGAATTTTAAACAGCTTCACACTCATCATTTCTCTGATCCACAACGCCCTTTTGAAGTAGATTTAGTGACCTGCCCAAGGTAATATAAGGAGACCATAGATAGAATTAGGGATGGAACTCTAACTTAATTTATAGTCATTTACATTTAATAAGACACTGCTTTTTATAACAAAGTAAGATGATTAAAGCCCACAGAGAGAGTTTACAGGATATCCAATAAACTCTAGAATGAAATTTCTTAACCAAATCAATCTACTCTGTTTAGCAGACTGGCTACTTCAAAAAACATGAAAGTATTTTGAAATCTACAATCAAACAGGTTTTTCAGACTGTTTATAAAAGAACAGACCCCATCAACCTGGAAAGATGATGACTAAATTTGCAAACCCATCCAAGTGAACAGATCTTTCCTCCCCCAATAACTCTTACCATATCATTTAATATACATAAGCAAATTAGAGTCTAAAGAGTCTAGCTTGTTTTAAATAAATAAAGCTTTATATTTTTTATACTTGAATGAAAATAATCCCCTCTTATTCTCTACCACTTTTCTAGGCAGAAAACACAAACCTTGATCTTGGAGTCATTTTTGTTGGAATTGGCAGGCCATCTGAAATTTTATATGGACTCTTCAGGGGTGATATATAGATGTTCCCCCCAGGAATCCGTACAGGTGAACTAGAAAATTTATAAGGGCTTCGAGGGATGTGAGGTATTGGTGACAAGGTAGGGGGCTAGAATCAAAAAAGCAGATGATTTACTTATTATTTTAGTGAGATCCATTGCTTTATAATTAGATTTTCTGAGTCAAAAGATTCTTTTCAACATACCCTGGAAGAAGCATACTGCAAAATATTTGTTTTCAGTCTCTGCATAAAGACTGAGTTATAGAATACTATAATGGAATCATACTCCTCTTCTCTGATCAAAACACGTTTGAATGTCTGAGGAAGAAGAATAAAAAATGTGTTAAATTAATTTGTTAATTTCTCTCTTTAGTTTTCTTTTTTGTTGTTGTTGTTGTTATATGCTGTGGAGTCAGACCCAACTCATAGCAACCCCCTCCTTGGGTTTCCGAGGCAGTATCACTACGGAAGTAGATTGCCGTATCTTCCTTCCAAGGAGTGGCTGGTGGATTTGAACCGCCAGCCTTCTGGTTAGCAGTCAAATGCCTTAGGCACTATGCTACCAGAGCTCCCTTAGTTTTCTTTGTTAGTAGTTCGTAATACTTTTTAAGTAGTAAGAAGCACAGAGTAATACAGGAAAATGTACTCTGAAGAAAGCTTCTTAGCCTTCACAGCCACTATGACCACTCCTTGGGTTTCTGAGGCTGTATCACTACAGAAGTAGGTTGCCTAGTCTTCCTTCCAAGGAGTGGCTATTGGGTTTGAACTGCCAGCCTTCTGGTTAGCAGTCAAATGCCCTAGGCACTACACCACCAGAGCTCCTATAGCTGCTATGGCAGAAGTGAAATGTCACAAAATGATCCAGAGAAGCAACCAGGCAGTGATGGGGCTGGCAGAGAAGCATAGCTGGCTGGCAGTCAAAGAGGAGCAGTCAGGCTGGCAGGTTGGAAAGCAGTATGGGCTCAAAGGTTGAGCTGAGCAAGAAGCAATAATATCATCCCTCAATATTTAGACTACATCCTCTGATCTATACATCTCTGCACCTCCTCACACCTTGTTCCCTAATTTGCAAGGGTTCAAGAAGTGTGCATTACTCTTATCACTAATTAGACACTTAATAAAAGCATTATATTTTTCTGAGAGGTAGATTTTACTCAGGCTTTAATTAGGTAAAGGCATAGAAGTTTTATAGAATGCCTCTCAAATACACAATTTAAATGACTAGATTTAGAAGAAACTTTAAAGGGAAAAAAAAAAAAAAAACCCAAGCTGGTTCATTTTACTTTTAAAAAATTCAGTGAAAAACTAGAAAAATAACCCATGACTCACCTGCCACTGAAGACTATGAACTGTGTGTCACACCAAGTATATTTTACTAGGACTGTTTTTCTAAAAGGAAGGTAAACTGGAAACATATGTTTACAGTGGAAATTTTTATTATTTAGTTATAAGGCTGCCTTTACACTGGCTTTTCCTATAAAGTAATAAAAATAACTTTAAAAATCTAATGCCCTATTACTTATATCATTTATTATAATTATCTTGCTTATTGCAGAGATGTACTATTCCTTCTTATTAAGTATAAAATATGAATTTGGAACATAAGGATATGAAATATGAATTCTGAGCCTGGCTTTCCAAGTTCCATTATCAATAATTAACCAATAATATAAAAAAAATCTATTTGTGAATTTACATAAGGTCAAGATACATGATCTAACAATGACTGAAATTACCCAGATTAAAAAAAAAAAAAAAAAAAATCTTACTACGAAGACTTACCTCCTGAACAGCATGAGGAAGGTCCTTGTATGCTGTTACAATGATTTTGAACTTAAGGTCAATATTCTTAACTTTGCAAATGCCATACATGGAACACATCATGATCTAGTAAATAAAGGTAGTACAAAAAGTCAGAAATCTATTACATGGTTTTATTCTAAAAAAGCACTCTGTTACCTCTCTTTTGGCCTTGAAAAACGGAAAGATAAATTCCTACAGGGTTATCTTTTCCTATCTTTGAGCTCAGTTTGAAAGTCTATGTGAAATGTTTAACCCAAATTGTGTTTAAAGAACAAAATGCAAATAGCCAGCTCACAAGTACTCAGAACTGATCATCTGGTTTGTAAATGACCCTAACTTTGGCTCCTACTCCTAAATGTTACCCAGAAGAGAAAAGTTAAAACTGGAATCAGGTCATTGTATAACTACTACTTAAAAAAAAAAAAAAAAGAGGTGCAAAAAGTTTCAAACTATTTGAAAAAATAATATTGGAGAAATTAAGTGGGAGTGACTGGAGTAGGGATGTAGTGACTGAAAGGGGAAAAAAAGATAGTCTTCTGGATTGTTGAAAATGTCATATTTCTTGATCTTAGTGCTGATTATATAGGTGAGTTCAACTGACTTTTGCAAATAAGATCTTTCAGGTCATTAAATTACAACATTAAGTCAGTCCTTAGTTAACAAGTAAGTGTTGTTGTTGTTGTTACGTGCCATCGAGTCGGCTCCGGCTCCGACTCACAGCGACCCCTCCTTGGGTTTCCGAGGCAGTATCACTACGGAAGTAGATTGCCCCATCTTCCTTCCAAGGAGCGGCTGGCTGGTGGGTTTGAACCGCCAGCCTACAAGTAAGTAGGGAGAAGAAAAGGTGACGTGCCTGGTTTTCTTACCTGGTCCAAATGCCTGTCTCTCATGAGCTCATACTCATTTTGCAGTGTGTGCTGGAAAAGGGTCCAGATGATGTGCTCTAGTTCTGGGTGATCAGACAGAAGGCGTGCACACAGGGTATTCAGTCGGAGATATGCTAGCCTGTATACTGGGGAAATAAAAGGAATCAGTGATGTTTACTGTTCATTTCTAATTACAAGTGGATTTTTGTAGTAACAGAAAATTGCTATAGGCATAATACTATCAGAAAGCATAACAGTAGCCTCTCCTCTACCATTATTTCCCTTATGAATAATTGATTCCTAGTCTTAGGACAGTGCAAGGCACACAGAAAGCACACTAATAATACTTGCTGTTAACTATTGTCATAGCATGAGATCAAGAAGAAGTGAGAGTTAAGAGAAAAACAGTTCTTAAGACTGGGAAATCAGACAAGCCAAACTGGGTCTGCTTCAGTTTCATTGGTCATCAGTCATCACAGATGTTGGAAATTCCCATCATTAATACTCAAGAGGTAATTATTTTTAAAAATCATGTAATTGTCCAGTGTCCATGATGTTTTCCCCCATTAAAAAAAATAAATAAACTGAATAGTTCTTTATGAAAAAGCAATGGAGCATACCTTGTTGGAAAACAACAGTACTGTAGATGACCTAAGTGGTCACTACTTAACTAATATAAAATTTATTTAGAGCCATTAAAAAATACTTGTGGAAATAGAGTTTTGGAGAAAAGGAATATACAAAACTGAATTTTCCTCCATTAACTTTAAATATAAAGATGCTGATTTAAAACCTACCTCTCAAAGACCTTTAAAGCTAACAGTTTATCCCAGTGGTTTACAACTCAGCAGGAGGGCTTGTTAAAACAAGGACTGCTAGGTCTCATTCTAGAATTTCTGATTGAATAGGGCTAGGGCAGAGCCCCAAAATTTCTATCACTTTTCAGAGGACTATACTCCAAGAACCACTGTTTTAATCTAAGAGCTAAATCTTACAATATGTCTGTAAAGTTCAGTGTATTTCTCACTTGAATAAAAACAGAAAAAATACCATAGTAGAATCTGGCATTTCACTTTTCAAAGAGTTCCAAGTAGTTGGGCACTTGCATGTGCATGTGCACACTAACTGGCCTCCTGCCCCGACCTCTTACACAACCTGAGACTGCTCTACAACCTGGAATCAGCCTCCTTAGATTTCCTGAAAATACCCCTGAAATGCATCTGCACTAGGCTACAACCCACTGTAATGTCAACCCAACATTCACATCTGAACAGCCAAAGTAATGTCAGGGGCAATTTTCCAAATATCAATATGAAAGCACAGCAGCAGTTTCAGCAGCAACAACATGTATCACTTTCTAAGGGCTTACTATAGACTGGGCACTGTTGAAGGCATTTCATATGTCCTAATTCACTGAATTACCTCAAAAATTCTCTGAGTATTATTATTATTAAAAGGTAGATTATGATAATCATTTCCATTTTTTTACAAATGAGGAAACTGAGGCACAGAGATATTAAATGACTTGTCCAAGGTCACGCCTCGTAAGTAGAAGAGCCATGATGTAAAACCAGTCAGCCTGCTTTCTAAGTCCGTGTTTTGAAAATAATCGTCTACTAACCTTTTTTGTAAAAAAGTGAAAGGGAGGTAGATTTCAATGGCTTCTGAGTCTGGAAGGCAGAAGCTGCTTGTGCCTCTGCATGTGCAGTGGAATTTACACGTGGAGTTGACCCCTTTTTCTTTGGGGATCTTACAGGAGAAAGATACCTAGGTATATTCAAAAGAAAATTCTTCATTTGAAGGTTGCTAAGAATCACACTCACATCACACCTACACACATACACACCTGTACATATACACTCAAAAACATACTGTTTATTTAATCAGTTACTCTGTACCAAATTCCTCAGCAGCCCATTTAAATACAAATTGTACAAGATAGCTTAACAGGAAAACTAAGCTTGCCATCATCATGTCCAACTTTATTTTGATAAATGGCTTTTCTTGGGAATTACTGCCTTATGGGGGGGGGCTGTATATGTACATGTTCAGTTTTAATAATTATAGTGGGATTGAAACCACAAAATGATATTAACTTAAAGGAAAAACTTATTGATAGCAAAATAGTTTACCATATTTCTCTAGTTCTCCTCTGTTGTTGTTGTTGTTGTTTGCCGTCGAGTCAGCCCTGACTCATAGCGACCCCTCCTTGGGTTTCCGAGGCAGGGTCACTACGGAAGTAGGATTGCCCAACCTTCCTTCCGAGGAGTGGCTGGTGGGTTTGAACCGACAGCCTTCTGGTAAGCAGTCAAGTGCCTTAGGCACTATGCTACCAGAGCTCCTAGTTGTCCTCTAACATTTTTTAATTTACAATTATGGTTCACATATATGTAAAAAGGCAAGTTACATATACAAGCATACATAGACACACATACACCTATGTTGATTATATAATGAAAAACTCTATTTATTAATACTTCAAACACCATCAAGGCATATTGACAGCTGTGTACTCTGTGTTGCCCTCTAACAGAATAATCCAACTCTACTCTGAGTTTGTTCCAGTAGCTGAGAAATAATTCTGAGCAGGAAACAGGATATGTATCTTATAATGGACATTTCTACTACATGTACTATATTATTATTAATTAGTACACTAGAAAAAGGGAATCACCATCACAATGATTTGTAAGTACCGGTGTCTGATTTATTGTCCACCTTGGAGTTTCTTTTCAGTTCATTAATGGAAGTATTGTATAGATTGACTTAACTCGAGCACAAGTTAGGATTCCTTTAGTTCTAGATATTGTTTTTGTTATTTGCCGTCGAGTCGGACCCAAGTCACAGCGACCCCTCCTTGGGTTTCCTAAGCAGTATCACTACGGAAGTAGATTGCCCAACCTTCATTCCAAGGAGTGGCTGGTGGGTTTGAACCACCAGCGTCAGGCACTATGCTACTAGAGCTCCACCAGTTCTAGATAGAAATATCCAATTATCTAACTGACATAATTACTTGATTCTCAAACTCAGTAAGGTCAAAATGAAGCTCTTGATTTCTTCCCCCAGTTTTCCTCATCTCAATAATTTGCTCCGTGTTATATCCTGTTTTGTGTATCAAAAGCCTAGGAGCCATTTTTAATTTCTCCTATTTCCTCATTCCTCAAAACCAATGCAAAACTAAGTCCTGTTAAGTCTACCTCTAACATACATCTCAAATCTTTCCATTTCTTCTTATTTGTACTGCTACATCTTAGATGAAGTCACCTACATTTCTCACTTGGACTACTGAAACAGTTTCCAAACAGATTTCCTCACTTTCTCCCTTTCCCTCCCTCAACCCCATCTGTTTTCCAAATAGTATTCAGAAAGTAGCCCTTTAAAAATACAAATTATAGCAAGCTACCCTCTGCTCCTTAGAAGCAAGGATGGTGAGACTTCATCTCTTATATTTTGCTCCCTGGAGAAGGGTATTATGTTTGGTAAAGTAGAGGGGTCAGCGAAAAAGAGGAAAACTTTCAACAAAATTGACTGACATAGTGGCTGCAACAAAGGGCTGAAGCATAGCAATGATTGTGAGGATGATGCAGGACTGGACAGTGTTTTGTTCTGTTGTACATAGGGTTGCTATGAGTTGGAACTGACTTGACTGCTAACAACTACATGTTGATTACATAATAAAGGATTCTATTAAACCCTTCATGGTTTCCCACTGCCCTTATAATATCCAAACCCCTTACTATGTCCAATGGGAACCAAAAGATCTAGCTTCAGTTTGCCTCTCCAACCTCATCTAGTACCATTCTCCTCTTCCTCACTGTATAGCCACACTGAGGCTTCTTTTTGTTCTTCCTATCAGTCAAGTTCAACATGCCCTAAGGCTTTTGTTCTTGCTATCTGCTTCGCCTGGAGTGCACATCATGGAGATTTTTGCCTTTGCCAGTATTCACTGTCACTGAGGGCTCAGGCCAAAACAACACTTCATCAGAGAGAGCTTCCCTAAACATCCTAAAACCTCTCAGTTTCTCTTTCACATCACTCTCTCTGTATATTTCCTTTGTAGCACTTAATATCAACTAAAATCATCTTATTTATAAGTTTACTTGTTCACTATCTCTTTCCTGCCTCTGAAATGTAAACTCTATGAGAAGAAGGGCCAAGTCTATCTTACTTTTACTATTCCCAGTACCTGGAACACTTTCTGGGACTCAACTGAAACCTGCTTAATTGAATTAAAATAAGTATAAGGCTTGACTTATTTAGATGAAAGCAACATACAGCAAACAAATTATGTGGGAAAGCAAAGTCTTTAAATTCTACCCAAGGGTAACAAGTTAACATGGAAATGACATCTCTAGAAGATGTACTAGATCACAAAACACTGTAATGTCAATTCCTACACAGAACTAAGAGGAATACAATCACAGACATTGCTATCAAAGGCAGAATAGCTAGATTGATTACCAGCATGGGACTTTGTTAGACATATACAGAACACTCCACCCAATAAAAACACAATATATATTCTTTTCTAGTATACATGGATTATTCTTCAGAATAAATGTTATGTTAGGTCACAAAGCTTCAATAAATTCAAAACACTGGAATAATACAAAGCATCTTTTTGGATCAAGTGCTATAAAATTAGAAAACAATAATCGAAAGAACGGGGGGGGGGGAAAAATCAAATACATGGAAACTGAGTAACACCCTGCTTAAAAACTACTGGGTTGCAATCGGCCATCTAGGATGCAACAATTGGTCTCTCCTCGCCCAGAGCAAAGGAGAATGAAGAACACCAAAGATACAAAGAAACCATTAGTCCAAGGGACTACTAGCCCATGTGAACCTCAGCCTACATGACCCTGAGACCAAAAGAATGAGACAGTGCCTGGCTACAACTGTCAACGACTTGGAAAGGCATCAAAGTGGAGATCTTGGATAGAGTGGGAGAAAAAGTGAGGAAAAAAACTCAAAATCATGAAAAAGACCTGGCTTACGGTTCTGAAGATGCAAATAACAAGAATAAGAAATGAAATGGGTAATGTCACAACAGAACCAACCAAAATAAAAGGATAATAATAGGCTCTGTATGCCTGCAAATCTGAAAACCTAGATAAAATGGACAAATTTCCAGAAACACATGATCTACCTAAACTAATACTGACTTAAGTAGAATATTTGAACAGGCCCATAACAAAAGAGGAAATTGAACAGGTCATAAAAAAACTCCCAACCAAAAAAAGTCTTGCCCCAGACAGCTTCACTGGAGAATTCTACCAAATATTCAAGAAGAGCTGACACCAACCCTACTCAAACTATTCCAGAACATAGAAAAGGATGGAATCCTCCCAATTAATTTTATGAAGCAAGCATAACCCTGATCCAAAGCCAGGCAAAGATACCACTAAAAAGGAAAATTACAGACTAATATCCCTCATGAACATTGATGCAAAAATCCTCAACAAAATTCTAGCCAATGAAATTCAACACCATATCAAAAAAATTATACATTATAACCAAGTGAGATTCACACCAGGTAAGTAAAGATGCTACAACATTAGAAAAACAATCAATGCAATCCACTACATAAACAAAAGAACCACATGATCATATTAATTGATTAGAAAAAGCATTTGATAAAATCCAACCACTATTCCTGATAAAAACACTCAGCAAACTAGAAATAGACAGGAAATTCCTCAATATAATTAAGGGCATATACACAAAATCAATGACCAACATTATTCTCAATGGAGAGGGACTGAAAGCATTTCCCTTGCAAATGGGAACCCAATAATGATGCCCTTTATCTCCATTCTTATTCAATATTGTAAAAAGAGCTCTAGTGGCATAATGGTTAAGGTATTTGGCTGCTAACCAAAAGCTTGCCAGTTTGAACCCACCAGCCACTCTGTGGAAGAGAGATAAGGCAATCTGCTTTCATAAAGATTTACAGCCTTGGAAACCCAATGGGTGTCACCATGAGTTGGGACTGACTTGAAGGCATTGAGGTGGGTTTTTTTTTTTTTTTTTTAAATTCAATATTGTATTGGAAGTCCTAGCCAAAACAGTAAGGCAAGAAAGGGAAATAAAAGGCATCCTAATTGATAAAGAAGAGATAAAACTATCCTTACTGCAGATGATCTGATCCTAGCAACATAGAAAATCCCAGCAACTCAGCTTTGCTACAGCAACTAATAGATTCAGCAAAGTGGCAGAATACAAAATCAACATATAAAAGTCAGTCAGATAGCTCTATACCAATAAAGAGAATTCTGAAAAGGAAATAAGGAAAATAAAACCATTTACATACTACCAAAAAGATAAAATACTTGGGAATAAACTTACGAAGAGATACAAAAAATGAAGGAACTATAAAATACCATTGCAAGAAACCAAAAGAGGCCTACATAAATGGAAGAATATGCTATGCTCATGGAGAGGAAGACTGAACACTGTGAAAATGCCAATACTATCCAAAGTAATCTACAGATATAATGCAATCTCAATCAGGATTACATCAATATTCTTTAGAGATAGAAAGACCAATCACCAACTTTATATAGAAAGGAAAGAGATCCTGGATAAATAAAGCACTATCGAAGAAGATGAACAAAGTAGAAGGGTTCACACATCCTCTCAAAACCTACTACGCAAGTATTGATTTGGGTGAAGGGAAGGGCAATGCACCAAATGTGAGTGATCAACATAGTGGCACTGAGGAAGAAATTATTAAAATTATTTAAAAAAAAAAAAACCCTACTATG